AAAAAGGTCTTATAGATGTGCTAGATGCAAAACTTGGAAAATTTGAAAATTTATTTGCAGAATTGTTAATATTAACGTAGTTCAACAAAAGAATTCAAAAAATTTTCAAAATAGCAAAATATCAAAGTTAGAACCAGAGCGCTATAGAAAAATATAATGAGACTCGAAAGACAATAGAGGTGAAGCTTAGTACATACTCTAGGCAGCAAAAACCTGTTTTGCTAACACTCGAATATCCATTGTACTATCTGGCAAGCATGTTTTTTTTTAAGGTTTTCTTTTAAATAAGCAGGGTAACACATGCCTTATATGTGTTTATTTCAAAATGCATAATTCATAGCCATCTAAAGCGGGAAAACTATACAAATGACAATACCAGAACCTTGTAAACCTGTCCTCTGAAGATTGGCAAATGTATCAATTTCGAAATGTATTATAATAAATCAATCAAGTTTGGAAATAAACAATTATGCTGACATGTAACACTAGTTTTCAATACGGCACCTTTATCGAGGCTTAAAAATTAAACTAATCTGTTTATTGCTTAAAATAACAGTTTAAAAAAAATGATTAAACAAAACAAGCAATGAAATTACAAATTTACAAAAAGAAAACTGACATGTCAGCAATGACCTCTCTTGCACATTTGTGTGACATACACAAACAAATAATAAATACTGAATCAATCGACGTAATACATGTACATCAGGTGTCAATTTTCCTAAACCTTAACGCCAGGAATTAATTCACGGTTTTACGTAGATATCATGTTTCGTTAAAAATCCAAACTCTATGAACTTTGCGACCGACTGATACTTTTTGAAACTGGATGGCAATTTGAAATAGCGTTGTATACGTTTATAACAATTTTGTAGAAATACAAGCATTAAACGGGGTGACTTTTTTTACAAAAAAGAGAATTTTCTTTTATAGATATAAACACGGTGCGTAAAAAGCATTTAATCAATTGAGGCAATCTTGACTTATCATGCGACAAAGACTTTCTTACAGAAGGACTGTCTGACTGACGGACGGACAGACTTACAGACAGATAGACAGTGATTACTATAGGGAATCGCTGACTAGTCGACGGGCCCTTATCATAAAGTCCCAGATTTGTAGTTAAATTTTCTACAAAAAAAATCACGATAACCTATGTTTTTTTGTTATTTTTCACAGATCTTATAAGCCCTACAACTTGTTTCAAATTACAAAAATGACACAACAATACAAAACTGTCATATCCTTAATATGTAACCTGTATGATCTGGAACAAACCAAACAACTGTATGTGCATACTGTCGAATACATTTTGAGTATGTCCCCAAAATATGTGTTATAGCTATGCATACTGCCCTGCATAAATGTGTTTGTCGAATCAAATCTTCTTTAATTATATCATCTATTGTACACATGAAATTACATTCCAAAATAATTTATTTAAATATTTAGTTGTAATAATTAGATAAATTCTTTTACACAACATGAAACATATCACAAATACATCTCGTCGCGCTCTCTCAATTTAAACAACCATTTCCATACTTTTGTAAATGGTATCAAGCATAAAGCATAAAGTTTTATTTAAAGTCAGTGAATTTTATGACAAATTGATCAGTAGAGTTTTAACCGACATAAAATGCAAGACTGATATTCGAATACAATGATTTTTCAATCTTTGTATCTTTGTTTATCTTCTCTGTCCTTTTTTAACTTTAGCTCATATAACATGTATAATATTCTATAAACTGTTTGCTTTAATAGAAAAACAAAGGATATGGGGTATCCATCCATGACACAAAATCAGTTCATGCACAGCAAAAACACACAAAAAAAGCAAAGGAACAGCGCTTTTATTGCTGTTCTTCATCTCAAAGTCACAATGAGGCATTCAACACGGAGCAAAAAACGTTCACCTCACTGCAAGTTTAAGACGGCCCATAGCACCTGCATGCTCATTAAATTATTATTGTATATATTCATCTTGTGTTATGGAGAAGATATGATTTACCTGTGTCTCATCCATTTTGCTTTAATTCATCAAATACACATGTTTAAGTTAATACTTGAATATATACAAATGATACAATCAACATGAGAATGCAATTATTATAAAGCAGAGCAAATAACAGCATTAGTTTTCTGAAACGTCTGGTCGGGTATAGTTCGTATCTTTTTGTAAGTTGTAGATGACCTATCAGCTTCAAGGGCGGAACAATGGGTTAAAGGACGGAAAATATATGCTTTCAGTACATTTTCTGAACTTTTACTGCCTCATCCCCCTGTAAGGCAAAACCATCGTGTCCGGAATATCCTTGATCCACCACACTGCTTCAAAAGATATAGACAACTAAGTTCAAATAATGGATTTGAATTGAAAAACTATGAATATATCCAATGAGGTAAAGAAGGAAAAAGGTTTATCATTAAATAAAAAGAGGAGGAGAGAAATACCATAAACACAAGTCAAAGAAAAATAGACGAGAAAGTAGCCAAAAGAAAAAAAACCATGAATGGACAATAATAATAGTAGTCAATAAAACATTACATAACAAAAACAAAAGGACTGAGCAGCACGAATCCCACCGATAATTAAATACATTGTTTTGTCTAATATTTAGGTATAAGTTTTTTCCTAAACTGCACTCCACTATACTATATATATTAAACTACGGTAAACATTTTAATTTAGTTTTTTAAATAATGCGGCAGACGTTTTGGAACACAGCCAAAACTTTGTACAATTGCACTGAAAAAGAATGTTTTTCTTTCTAACAGGTTTTGTATTAACATAATTATCGTTATGCAGCACTGCATATATGTTTAAACTTAATTGATATCACATGTTGTGTTGTATAGTGTATAAGGTACCTCAAGACTTTTAACATTGTTCCCGTCAAATAATCACTTCCATTCTATGCTTATTATATGCATGTGCAGGTAAAAGAATTTGCTCCACATTTTTTTTTAATTCCAGACAATATTTAGATTGTATGACAATTAAATTGAGGGAGATACTATATAACTTTGTGTTGTTGGTTTGAGGACAGTATGGTATTCCGTTTTGAACTTTCCTCGGAGTTCAGTATTTTTGTGATTTAACTTTTTTCCAGGTTGTTAACAGTATTGGTTTTTTTTTCAGTCATGAACAGTATTATGAAGTAAGGTTGTAATGTTTTGTATGAACTTGTGCTGTCGGGTTCGTGTTTATTTTAGAGGTTGTTGTTGACAAAATTTTGTTGTCGGCGTGTGGAAGTATTATATACGAAGGCTTTTATTGTGCAGTAAGGTTGTAAGTTTGTAGATGAACTTGTGTTGTCCGGTTTATTTTCGTTGGGTTGGGGTGGTGGAGGGGGTTGACAGAATTGTGTGGTCGGGTTTAATTTTAGGGGATGACAGAATTGTGTTGTTGGCGTGTGGGTAGTATTGTGTAGAAAAAAGACCTTTATGTTTTCGTGTTGTGAATAAAATTGTTTTACTGGAGAGTCGATATTTTTATATTGTCAGGTTATGTGTAACATTGTGTTGTGTTGTCGTGTTGTAAGCAGAAGCGTTGACGGGATGTTATCAGAATTGTGTTGTTGTCTTGTCAATAGTATTGGTTTGCCAGATATTTGATAGAATCTTGTTTCTAGGTCGTGGACAGTATTGTGTAAAGGTGTGTATTTACTTGTGTCAGGTTTGTGATGTCATGTTCTAAACAATAAAGGTGTTGTCGGATGGTCGACAGTGTTGTATTGATAAGCCTTCGTTTTATCGAGTTGTGAATAGTGATGTTATGTCCGGTTGTGGATAGTATTGTGTTGTCATTGTGGACAGTAATGTGTAGGGAGGCCTCGTAATATTTAAAAACTCCAGCATATGTACCACCATCAAGCACATTGTAGAGGAATTCGGTAAATATCAGGGAAATGTCGACAATAATACTGTCTTGAAATTGCTACTAAGTATGATCACTGAAGACATTCAAGTAACTGTCAAGATGAAGATCAACGATGAACACTCTGTTTATTTGACATTTGAGTAATTTTAGTGTTTATTTTGGAAACGTGTGAACACTTATAATAATTTTTTACTTTACACTTACAAGAAAATATGTCATTTGTGGACCAGAAACTGCTGACCGTTTGAAGTATCTGAGCCCCCTCTGAGTTTTAGTAAGGTTCATGTTGCTTAGTTTAAAGTTTTTGTAAAGTGTTTTGTAAAGTGTTTTGTCTTTATTGTGTATTGACGTTTTAACTGCATAAATTCGACTTAAGATTTTTTTGTCTGTCATATTTGACAATTTTAGATTCAATAAGTACAAAAAGATCATCTGAATTACCCCCAATATTTATTCGGTTTATTGACATGAATAAATATAAAGCACAGTCATTCATCAACGAATAAAAGACAAACCTATGACCAAAACCTAAGTATCTGTTTTAAATGTCTACATTTAGTAACGGACAATAAAAAAATTTAAAACACATGCATTGTTACCTTAAAACTTTTAAATTCAGATAATAAATTTGTCGTTTTTGTTTGTTTATTTCTAAATTCTGAGATGCAGTGAGGTAATATAATACAGTTGAAATTTTTAATAAAAACTATACCTCTTTTTTTTTTTAACTTTACACCTTTCCTTATTTCCTAACTAGTAGGCGTAACTGTTAGTAAAATTATTGCAGATTTAACATTGTTGTGCTGATATTTAGATTAGTTATGAATACATATATATACGACGCTAGATTAAAACTGACGAGAAAAGGTAACACCCGGTGCCTAGGTGGTCGAGTGGTCTAGCGCGTCGGTCATAGTGCAATGCGATTTGGTGCCACGATATCTCAGTAGCATGAGTTCGAATCCCGGCGAGGGAAGAACAAAAAATTTGCTTACGCAAATTTACAGATCTAACATTGTTGGGCTGATGTCTAGACGAATTATATATATATATATATATGTGTGTGTGTGTGTGTGTGTGTGTATGTGTGTATGTGTTCCTTTAAAATCACGAAATATTTCAATTTGGTTTTTATTTTAATATGCAAAGTTACAAAATTTGTATAATATCAACAATACAGGCAAAACAAACACCAAAAATACCTTAAGATCATTTCAATGTGTTTTTATGTATATATATATTTAGCTATAAGCACAATGAGTTACCTCCAAACAACAACTGCCCAGCAGTGATCGTATTGGCAACTTGCGTCTATTCACTCAATCATCTGACCAGCAGAATTATTTTTATTTACAGATACATTCTCTTGTTCAAACAAAATCATCAATTATTCAAATCGGCAAATCCTCGGTCGATTCCACTACCGAACGGAATCGGCCGAGTTTAGACGTGTGCAATTATTCATGATGTTCATAGTCGTAGTAATCGTCTTATAACAAAACAAATCATGCCAATATGACAAACACTATGGTACATAGGAGAACAACTGCACCCATTCACAAACATCTTACTTTTAACATTGATTGCAAGAAATGTCCCTGACATACGAAAATTTTACTCTAAGATTAAAATTAGAGAATAAAATAGATATTTGTGTGCAATTTCGTATGCTATTTGTAGATTTCCTTTAAGAAATGAAAAGATAATGATATCACTATAATCCCTTTTAATGGATGTCTGTTATCTTTGTATTTGATCACTTAAGGAAGCCATCTCATTTGGAAGAATAAATTTCCTAGTGAACGGCAAGCACAGTTTGTCATTGACGTGCGTGTTTTGAAAGCAGATTTCTATTGTCTTCTCGCTTTTTCTTGGATCCAGCATAATAAGGTCAAATATATATCTTGCGTTTAAGTAATGTGGACTAGGACAAACCTTGTCCAAGTTTATGGCCTCAATATATCCTTTGGATGAGCAAATTATGATATAGTCTGCATTAGTGTATCGGTTCCGAAGCCAGGTATATTGATCCTTCTCACTAACAAATCCTTGATTCTTAGCCGAAACAAAAGATTCTTTATGAAGATCTGTGTTCACGCTGTGTCCTTGTCGTTTTATTTGTCCTGCTAAGTTAATCACATCAGCTTTCGCGTCATCAGTATAGGAGATGAAAATAGTTTTGCCTGTAACAATTAATGAAAGGTTAATGTTTTTAAACTAGAGACTGTAAAGAGTTTGTGTCGTTCACCTAGGTCTTTGTGAATCTTCAACAATGGGAACTCTCCAACATTGCAGACTAGAATATAATTCATGACTAAAAATTTTTTTGTCTGTTGAATTTCAAGATAATATGCAAAAACGCATAAAATGGTATAATTCGTCATTAAAGAACAATTACTCCAATAAGGAGTCGACTGACGTTTTAGGCCATGGTGACTTATTTATAAATTTTATTGTGTTGATCTTTTTCGCTATTTCAACTTTCTATCCATCTGTTATATAGTTTTCAAGATTTTATGCAAAAACGTAAAAATAGGTAAAATCGTCATTACAGGGTATTAATTTCTATCGGGAGTTAACTGACGATTTGGGTCGTTAAATCATATTTGTTATTCAAAGTTTCTCTCTATCTATTATAATTTCAAAATAAAAAAGCATAACTCAGAATGAAACGGTAAAATATGTCCTTTAAGGGCAATAACTCATATTAAAAGTCGTTTGACAGTTTTGATGTAAATGACCTCACCATAGATACCAGGATTAAGATTTTGCTCGCCAGACTCGAGTTTTTTTCTACAAAAGTCTCATCAGTGACAGTAGGTAGATTACAACAATTTGAACTTTGTCCTCCTGTCAAATTTTCTCTATCTATAGCGGTTTCCAAAACTTGCACTTCATCCCTATGTTCTAATTTTAGCCATGTTGGTTGGCAGGCGGGGTCATCGGACACATTTTTGGCTCAGAGGAGAAGACATTTTTAAGTTAACGGACAACGATGGACGCAAAGTGATGAGAAAAACTCACTTGGCCCTTTAGGTCAGGTGAGTAAAACAAGGATTTGAATATCTTTGTTCATAAAATTTTGAAGAAAAAACAGATGATATTGTAACGAAGTAAAAACATTATATAATGCATAGCATATGTACATCTGTATTGATTAAATCAAAACTTAAATAAATAATACTGTAGCGATCAGTATTGGGGTCGAATGTGTTAAATATACAATGATAGAATCAATCTTTCTACAATAACATTGTCGAACAGACAAACATGGAGTGAAAATAAAGCTAACTATCCTCAAATGGAACTGGGGCTCTTTTCAGAAAAAAATCTTATGACAAAAATTGATCGTGAGTTATAATGAAATGTTCATGACTTACTAGTATTTTTTTTCGCAAGTTTTTTAGTGAATTTAGTCGCAGGTGTGTTGACAATTGCCGACTGCTCAGTGGAGAAGTAGAAAATACCAATTTTCATAATTTGGATTGAACCAACGGCCCAATTGATTTGAGGCGAACACCTTACCACGAGGCCATCGAGGTGGTCTCAACTGGGTCGTAAGGGAGACCATTACCTAGAAGAGGATTTCTGTTTTCCTTCTTCATATTAAGACCATTCTGGAGAAGTTTTTTATTGATCGCAGTTTACATCATACATATGTTTGTGAATTTTTTTTATAGTAAAAAAACATGAGTTTGCATATCGTGTCAACTAACATACATTAAAACCATAGACTGTGGCAACGAGTATGATGTATACAACAGCCAAACTTAAATCCTCTCGCTATCATAAATCCTAGTTTTAAGTACCTCATCAATGATTATTTCAAGAAAAAGATCCATATATCTTTTTTTCTGCAGTACCCTGACTTGATTAAGTTCAATGGGATATACAAGATATAGTTAACCATTGAAAAATGAGTGAAAGGTCATTATCTGTATATCTAAAATTACAGGATTTTCCTAATCAATGTTTTGCATAAAGTTGCGTTATACAAGTACGAGAACAATGACTTATAATTAGTATTTATTGGAATAACGATAACTGTCTGTTTGAATATCCTTCCATCACTCAATAACAGATGTCCAGAAAGTTTGTTTCCTGACAAACACGGATTCGTTGTTGTTCTGCACGGGTTATCAAAATGTTCAACATCCATAAGGAAATACCGAGAGCATTAGTTAACAATATGTACAGTATGAATCGTTTAAGTTTAAAAAAAAATAAACATACTTTGTTTTTTACTCACCATGTTCACCAATAAAAATTTAAAAAATATCTGACTAAAAATATCTTACTAACTTCGGGGATAAAAGCCTCTTACCTGAAAGATCTTCGGTGGTCCTTCTATTCCCTGGATACGGACATAAGTTTGAATCAGAAATTGATGTTACTGAAAGCCTAGAGGAATCGATTTCCCTTGCATATAACATTTCTTCAGGTGTACTCCATCTATTTCGATTATCCCCACTAGATGAACTTGACGGTTGCGAAATTTGTTTATGTAAATGAACCTTTTCTTTTCTACACGTGCACTCAGGTGGTTTTTTACATGTACATTTAAGTTTATTGATATTTGAACACGCGTGTTTACTTATAATTGAAGACTTCATGGAAGACGAATGAGAATTGCCGTCTGGACATGCTCGAAGACTTAACGAACTTGATGGATTTTCTGAATAACTGACATGATCTGTTTGAATATCATCGTTTATATTCATTTCATTATTCACGGGCACATGTCCCGTTGTCCTAGAAAAAAGATTGTTTGACCTTCTCGTGATCGTTGGTTGATTTCTGTATTCTCTACGCGGATAAGATGACAATACCGTTGTTTCATCTGGGTCAAGCAGTCGTCTTTCCTCGCACTCTTTACAGTTTGTATCGCCACACTGACAGTCACATTCGGACGGATGAATCCAATCAATCTCAATTTCTCTTTGTCCAGGTTGTGCATGCAGATTTTCTCTTTGTCCAGGCAGTACATTATATGGTAATCTACCTTCATTTAGTAAAACATCTGTATTATCATGTCTTGAATTGTTTTGTTTTTGTCGATCTGGTCTCCTGTTGGTTTGGTTTGTTCCGGAAGGGGGAGACCTCTCTGCTACATATCTTTGGTTATTAGGATCGTTTTGTCTTTGTCCGTCCGATCTCCTGTTGTGTGGATTTGGATTTATCCGGGAAGAAGGAAACCGCTCTTCCATATATCTTTGATTGTTAGGGTCGTGTTGTCTTTGTCCATCTGGTCTCCTATTGTCTTGACTTGTTAGAGAAGCAGAATATCTCTCTGCTAAATATCTTCGATTGTAACGTTCGTAAGCACTCCTTTCTCCACAACCTGTGCAGGTACAGTTGTTTTCTGATGCTGGGGTGGTAGATGTGCTATGATGTGCCATATCGTGACAGAACATTTGAATACAATCTGTAATGAACAAATGGTATATGAATGTAAGTATTTGATTTTCATTGTAGGTTTGAACTTATTGGTTTAAAAGTTACGATAAGCTTTAAGGTATTTTAACGAAGACACTGGTTGATTTTACAAACTGACAAACGGTTAAACATTACCTAATGAACATAAGAATTTATTAGTTGATCACATCAGGTGCAACACAGTTCAGTGTTTTGTGTAGACTTGCATTTATGTAATCGTCATAACATTAGTCCAATGCTTTTCTTATTTTTCGTCGACATTTAATGTGCCCCTATTGTATTGTGTTGCGTTGCAGTTTGAAATATTGGAACTCTCAATTAATGTTCTTAGATTGATTCGGTAATCGGAAAACAGTTGTGTATATCTAAAGTTCATCACTTTGTTGTTCCAGTATTAGCATTATCGAATCTTTTTCTTTAACTATGTCTGAAAAAAATAGTCATATCTTACGCGTTATGCCAAATGCTTTAAAAGACTGACTGGCTTTTTTCACTTTGAAATATGTTATCGGCCTTGAATTGCATATTACTTAAGTTTTAATCAAGATACATAACAAAACTTCTAAGTGTTATTTACTCTTAACTCCAGATTAAAATGAACAATACCCGAACGTGGCGTGAGCTAGACAAAGAGCAGTAATCCAAACGCTTTCTTCACTATTTATTCAAGATAAAGAACAGCAATGCAATCGTGTTCTTTACTCTATGTTTCCTTCATAGTGTTTTCTGTTACTAGTATATATAAAAATAAGAAGATTCGGTATGATTGCCAATGAGACAACTCTCCACAAGAGACCAAATGACACAGTAATTAACAATAGTAGTTTATTTCATGACTTCTTGTTTATATCTCGTCATTACGGACATATATACATACCAGTGTGACACTTTCTAAAGATGTCCCGAGTCGCTGCCCCCATTTTATCCAATACACATTGTACTTGTCCAATTGTTATTCCTTTTGCCATTAAGTGTCTAAATAAAATTTTTGTTGGCCTCTGAAACACTTGATATCGAAAAGCCTGAAATAAATATTTTATGCATCTAAACATTTGGTAATGCAAATGTCCCATGTTAAATATGGTCGAAAGCTGACTCCGGGATGGGTTTTTATTTTTCAAATTAAAAAATATATAAACACTAATATCTAATAAGTAGTGAAAAAGTCCTTTTGTTAATATCCAATAACATAATACTATTCAAAGGTACATAGATTCCTTATATTTTTATCAATATGAAGGAGGTGAGAAAAGAAAGCTTATAAAAAAAGGTTTTGAAAAATAGACATCTACAGGTGAACCATCTACGCTGCACGATAAGTTCTAAATCTCCTCGAGTCACTCATCTTCGCTGCACGATAAGTTCTAAATCTCCTCGAGTCACTCATCTTCGCTGCACGATAAGATCTAAATCTCCTCGAGTCACTCATCTTTGCTGCGCGATAAGTTCTAAATCTCCTCGAGTCACTCATCTTCGCTTCACGATAAGTTCTAAATCTCCTCGAGTCACTCATCTTCGCTGCACGATAAGATCTAAATCTCCTCGAGTCACTCATCTTCGCTGCACGATAAGTTCTAAATCTCCTCGAGTCGCCCATCTTCGCTGCACGATAAGTTCTAAATCTCCTCGAGTCACTCATCTTCGCTTCACGAAAAGTTCTAAATCTCCTCGAGTCATCTTTGCTGCACGATAAGATCTAAATCTCCTCGAGTCACTCATCTTCGCTTCACGATAAGTTCTAAATCTCCTCGAGTATAGTTATCACTATTTAGAATCCATGCCAATGTACGTATGTTTGGATCGATGCAACATGTCAGCGCCCTATGAAAAACGAAAATATCGATGATTGACAGTCCTAACCTGAGACCTGTCGATCCAAAAATATTATTTGTAATGAGCGATAAAATGGCCATCACATCAGTGACTTGTCAAAAATACTAATACCAAATTACAAAGATGTAAGCGATTTTAATAAACAGCTGCGCCATGAGCGCATGATACACGCGTCGCTTTTTCAATAGATATAAACCAGCCACCAAAGTTTCATGAAAACTGCTCAAAGCATTTTTTGAGTTATTGTCCGAAAACTGGAAAATCCCCCTTTTTTAATGAATAAAACCCCATAACTCGGAAACGTAAAATCTAAAATTTATAAAAATCGAAAGGGAGCTCACATCAATAGATATAAACAATTCACCAAAGTTTTATGAAAACTGTTCAAACCATTTTTGAGTAATCGTCCGAAAACTGGAAAATCCCCCTTTTATGAACAAAAACCCATAACTCGGAAACGTAAAATCCAAAATTTATAAAATTCGAAAAGGAGCTCACGTCAATAGATATAAACAATTCACCAAAGTTTCATGCAAATTGGTTAAAGCGATTTTTAGTTATTGTCCGACATTTTGACGACGGACGGACGGACGGACGGACGGACGGACGGACAGACGGACGGACAGACGGACGGACAGACGGACGGACAGACAACGGTATACCATAATACGTCCCGTAAACGGGCGTATAAAAATAATGAATTTTACCTGTACTCTGCTAGTATGAAGGCCTAGCTTATTTTCATGCTCTCTATTTATCATTTCAGCAAATAACTCCATGCACACAATACCAGGTACATCTAGTAAATCTGCCAGCTCTTCTAAGGCACTTTCTGGTAAATATTTCAAGCCAATGTAGTATAATGGATACTCTTGGATGTGGAAAGGATAACCTTGTGCCATTTTTATTTATCTAGAATGTAAAATATAAATATGTATTACTTGTTATAATTCCATATTATGTGGTTTACTTTCACAAGTTTAACTTCAAGAATTTTAAATATTATTAATTTTTATCATCCTTAAAAGTTTTGAAATATCATTATCTGACCCTGCACAAAATTTCTTAAATCTGAAAATCTGATTAGCCATTTTGTACATAGTTTTTGGCATTATTAAATATGAGCAACTCAAAACATATTTTATTCACCCACATCTTCATCGCTGAATAAGACATTTTGTTGCAAAATTTAATTTGTGTTAAGGCTGTGGCTCGTATCTAAATATATGACAATCTCAAAATAAGCTATTATGCAACGATAGGAAAAGTTATATCTGAAAGGCTAAATATCTTGTACACATCTGAAGGATGTTTTTTTAAAGGTTTATAAAACTTAAAATTGAATTCAAGGGGACAAAAAGTGTTCATTTTTTTTAAATCATATCTCTGATGTTTTTGCATTGCTCTATATATTTTTATAATGATCCTTGTTTTTTATTTTATTGATTAAGACAGCTGACAGTTACCCAATTACAGCAAGTAGTCACGTGGCGTAAAACTTTTCAATGTTTTGGTTTCAAGATTACAAATACTTTACTGTAACTTACGAGCGGGCACTGTATACATCAAATACTTTACTGTAACTTACGACCGGGCACCGTGTACATCAAATACTTTACTGTAACTTACGACCGGGCACCGTATACATCAAATACTTTACTGTAACTTACAACCGGGCACCGTATACATCAAATACTTTACTGTAACTTACGACCGGGCACCGTATACATCAAATACTTTACTGTAACTTACGACCAGGCACCGTATACATCAAATACTTTACTGTAACTTACGACCGGGCACCGTATACATGTAATACTTTACTATAACTTACGACCGGGCACCGTATACATGTTATACTGTACTGTAACTTACGACCGGGCACCGTATACATGTAATACTGTACTGTAACTTACGACCGGGCACCGTATACATCAAATACTGTACTGTAACTTACGACCAGGCACCGTATACATCACCGTATACATCAAATACTGTACTGTAACTTACGACCGGGCACCGTATACATGTAATACTGTACTGTAACTTACGACCAGGCACCGTATACATCAAATACTGTACTGTAACTTACGACCAGGCACCGTATACATCAAATACTGTACTGTAACTTACGACCGGGCACCGTATACATCAAATACTTTACTGTAACTTATGACCGGGCACCGTATACATCAAATACTGTACTGTAACTTACGACCGGGCACCGTATACATGTAATACTGTACTGTAACTTACGACCGGGCACCGTATACATCAAATACTGTACTGTAACTTACGACCGGGCACCGTATACATCAAATACTGTACTGTAACTTACGACCGGGCACCGTATACATCAAATACTGTACTGTAACTTACGACCGGGCACCGTATACATCAAATACTGTACTGTAACTTACGACCGGGCACCGTATACATCAAATACTGTACTGTAACTTACGACCAGGCACCGTATACATCAAATACTGTACTGTAACTTACGACCGGGCACCGTATACATCAAATACTTTACTGTAACTTATGACCGGGTACCGTATACATCAAATACTGTACTGTAACTTACGACCGGGCACCGTATACATGTAATACTGTACTGTAACTTACGACCGGGCACCGTATACATCAAATACTGTACTGTAACTTACGACCAGGCACCGTATACATCAAATACTTTACTGTAACTTACGACCGGGCACCGTGTACATCAAATACTTTACTGTAACTTACGACCAGGCACCGTATACATCAAATACTGTACTGTAACTTACGACCGGGCACCGTATACATCAAATACTTTACTGTAACTTACGACCGGGCACCGTGTACATCAAATACTTTACTGTAACTTACGACCAGGCACCGTATACATCAAATACTGTACTGTAACTTACGACCGGGCACCGTATACATCAAATACTTTACTGTTACTTACGACCGGGCACCGTATACATGTAATACAGCAATTTGTCAAGAAAAACATAAAACCAAATTGAATAACTCGTGATCGTAAGACAGCTTCTCTTAGAATTCCAACGAGTTTTAAAATTAAGTAATAAAAAAAGAACGAAAAAAACTTTTAAATACATTGCAACCAAATACAATGTCAGAGTGGTATCCCAGATGATGTTGTTAAATAGCGCAACAGTGGTTGGGGTTTTTTTTGGTGTGGCGGGGGGGAGGGGGAGGGGGTTGATGATTGATTGATTTATTGATTGTTGGTGTTTAACGCCACTTTCAGCATTCTTTGCTATATATATTATGACGGTCAGTTTGTATAGGTGGCGGAAGCTAGAGTAGCTGGAGAAAACAACCGTCCATCGGCAGGAAAATTGTCAATTAAGATCGAGTCGAACGTACCTGCTACGAGCAAGGTTCGAACTCTCAACCTCATTGTTGGCAGGGTAGTGATCATTGTAGATGTAAAATCTAAACAAAAACCAGACAGGCAGATGGATGACTCTCGTGCTGATCTCTGGGACAAGTTAAGTAAAAATGATTACATGTATCTCTAACATTTAAGTTACTCAGAGAATTTTTTGTGAAATATTCATACGAAAAAATAGTTCATCGAACCAAAGGATAACATAAGTGTGTGTCAAGTAATTGACTTTAAAAACAAGGAAATAAAATATTTAAAAACCACTGTGGATATTTATATTAAACAGTAGTACATGTACTAATTTTCTGAGTATATTTCATTACACATATCAAGAATTGATGTTGAAGATAAATTGCATTTTATTTTTAATTTCAATAAATAACGAGTACTGCGTGCTAGGAAATAGTGTGTTAACTACCATGGATAATTTTATTTGGTTAATGAAAAATGGAAATAAATATATCTTGTTTGAAATGTGTGCTTTAATAAGAAATAATGAAAAATCATCATAATTTATTCCATTGTTTATAATTACCTTCTATGAAATTTTTAGTCGGAGAATTAGGACAAGTTGTGCTTAAGGCTGCATCCAAATTCAAATATTTTTTGCACTAAATTTTAACATATATTATAAAGTCCTTTGACCACCTTCCCTTGGTGACTCTTGCATTTTTGATAGCTGTTAAGTATTCTTGTTCTTTTGCATTAGCTACGAGGAGGACTAGATAAAACATTTTTGAGCTAAAATATTCATATCTATGTTTATTTAGTTGAGTGTCCTTTAAGCACCTGCCCATTGTGACTCCTTCATTTGGATAACTTCTGCATCAACCACGAGGATTTAACTCATTAAAGTTTATTCCACATAGGATATGATGCTGCTTTTTGGTCTGATGGTGCATGGTTATCTAACACTGAACAGTATGGTTTATATGGTTATATTATTAACTCATGTTATATTCCATATTTGCGCGATTCGTCTTTTGTATTATCTGTATTGTAAATGTTTAATGTGCTTATCATTGTACTGATGTTGCCTACAACGGGTCCTTGTTTGAAACAAAATGTATCTATCTATCTATCTGTCATATCAAGACACAGGTTTACACCAAAATTCCTCTTCTTCCCAAGAAGTAAGCTCGTCAAATAGCTACCTGTCTATGTTTATGTACCTACCATATGATACTTCATTGATCTTTTTTGTTTGTTTTGATCAGTGAATCAAATTGTCTTGTCAAAATTTGTGCACATTTTTTATTTATCACAGTATAAGCATTCTTATCAGTCTATTGACAAAGTTGTTGTGCATGACTTGCCTTATTTCACGTGGGAATGTACTACTTTTCTTTTCTAATACTTATTTACTATTCATTTCTTATAAGTATTGATTGGTAACAAAAATTACAAACTTTATTTCAAAAATTTTATGAAAATGATTTTTCTCTAATTTATTGAGTAATAATTCCCTGTTTTAGAGCCATCAGATGAACTATACTGTCAATTAACTCAGTTGGTGTTATGTACTATATTTTAGACAACCTTTCAAGGTCAAATTCATACTGAGAATTACCTTGCTACTATTAATAAGTTTAGGCAATTTCCATCGGAAATTTCCACACACTCATTCATAAAAAAATCGACCGATTAAAGATACGCAAATTAAAATTCGTTCTTTTGTACACATTGTTAGCATTCTATCACTTAAAATAAGTTCTATATATTACACGACAATTGCATAATTAATAGTAAGTACATTGATACTGAATTTAAGTATTCTTTAATAAGTAATAGTAACAGGTATAAAAATATTACCCAATGATAATCATATGCTAGTTCAAAAAAGGACTTAAAATGAGAATTCGATATGCTCACTTTCTTTCAACTCCTGCTAGTAATCGGAGGATAGAACAATTGCTTAAAGGGTGTCATTGAACTCAAACCTTGCAATCACACTTTCCAATATATTGTAAGGAATGCCATTCATTTTTAACAAATTCTTACTGGTGGGAATGTTCAAGTTCGATAAACAGTTAATCCAGCGAGAGATCAAGGGTTTGCCAAAAACAAAATGAGGACATAAAATTTTGCACTAAAAAAAATTCAGACAGTTTATTGAATAAAGTTAAGGCGAAGGGAGGGGTTTAAGTCCACCCAGTCCTCCTTTCATGCGCCTCGTAAATCAAAGGTTAAATTTAATAGCTACTACTGATTTATATGCTACATTCGTTTATATAGTAAAAACTATTAGATCTAATATATTACTGACAAAGAAAAATGTAAATATTTACTTCGAGAAAAATAAATCATTATGCACGAACATGCATCAGTTGTGCATGGGGGAAGGTTTTTCTGCAAATATACATTTTTCTGAACTTCCATCAACAACAAAATTTAAGTAACAAACAATCTATTAAAACAAACTTAACCCTCCCGACCCCCACACACAGACACAGGATGAATGAGCGTTCTCTTAATATTTTAACTACTAGTAATATATTTATCATTAGTATAT